CTATCCTGGCGCGGTGCGCCAGTTAGTACACCATGCTCAACAATTTTATTTTTTTGCTATTACAAAATAAATTACTATAATGAAAATCCTATCTATCTAATAATGAAACTAACGAACTTTACTAAATCCTAGGAATTCAAGCTATGCTAAAACAGAAAAAAACAAAATTTAAACTAGCTACCTATTTATTACATATCATTCACGGGTTGCCTCTCGTGGAGCGCCTGCTTTAACCTCGTGGCTTGACTCAACTTGGATCATTAATTATTCAGCTCTAAAGCCTCACGATTACAATACAAATCTGCACCAAAGTAGTGCTTAACTCTTTTCCCATTTACCAAGAACAACGGGCCATTTTGACCTTTAAGTTCAACGACACCATGTTATGTCATCCTTACTACATCAAAGGGACCACTCCATTTTGACCTTGTTTTGCCGAGGAATAACCTTGGTCTTGAGTTAAAAAGTTGTACCATTTCTCACTGAATGAAAGTACGAGGAACTATGTTCTTGCCATGCCATAGTTTCAACTTTTCTTTGTAGATCTTGGCATTCTCATACGCATGGAGCCAAACCTTTTCAAGTTCATGTAGTTGATCCACTCGCTTCCTACTTGCCTGCTCGGGGTTGAGATTTAACTTCTTTATCACCCAATATGCTTGGTGTTCTAACTCTGCCGGAAGATGACATGCTTTGCCGAACACGATATGATAGGGAGAAGTCCCTGTGGGTGTTTTATATGTAGTTCTATACACCCATAATGCTTCATCAAGCTTCTTAGACCATCCTTTGTTTGCGCATTCACAATCTTCTGCAAGATTTGCTTCACCTCTTTGTTCGATACATCTACTCGACCACTTGTTTGAGGATGGTAAGTTCTAGTAACCTAATGCCAAATACCATACTTAGCAAGAAGATTTTTCAGTAGATGGTTAATGCAATGCTTACCTCCATCAGTTATGATCACCGTTGGAGTGCCAAAACGAGTGAAAATGTGCTTCTTGATGAATTTAATCACCACTCTTGTATCATTTGAGAGAAGAGCTACCGCCTTAACCCATTTTGGAACATAATCAACAGCTACAAGAATATATTGGTTTCCATTAGGTGGCGGAAAGGGACCCATGAAGTCAATACCCCACACATAAAAATATTCCACCTCAAGAAAGTTACTTAGAGGCATATCATTTCTTCTTGATATAGTACCCAATATTTTACATTGATCATATCCATTCACATAAGTAATAGAATCTTTAAATAAAGAGAGCCAAAAGAAACCAAATTGTAGTACCTTATGGGTCGTGTGCTCTCCTCCATGGTGTCCTCCATATGGCCAGGGATGTCAACTTTCGAGCACTCTCTTTACCTCACATTCCGGAATGCATCTCCTTACCACCCGATCAACTCCTTGATTGAATAAGAATGGTTCATCCTAGATATAGAACTTAACATCATGAGCTAGCTTTTTATTTTGTTGGGTGGTTGCATCTAGAGGGTATTCTCCACTTACTATCAGATTCACTATGTCCGCATACCAAGGCACTGGAGAGATATCTAGTGCCATTAACTTTTCATCTAGAAACTCTTCCTAGATTTTTTTTCCCTTAATGTACATGGGAAAAATCTTCTAACCTAGACAAATGATCAACTATTTGATTCTCAGTACCCTTTCTATCTTTGATCTCAAGGTAAAATTCTTGGAGAAGAAATATCCACCAAATCAGCCTTGGTTTAGCATCCTTCTTATTGAATAGGTACCTAATAGCTGCATGATCAGTATAAACAAATACTTTTGTACCTACCAAATACGATCTAAACTTGTCAAAGGCAAACACTGGAGCCAGCATCTCCTTCTCAGTCACTATGTTATTATCTTGAGCAGAATTAAAGGTCTTGCTCGCATAGTAAATTGAATGGAACACTGTATCTTTTCTTTGTCCTAATATTGCACCCACTGCTACATCACTTGCATCAGGCATGAGTTCAAATGGTAATTCCTAGTTAGGAGCAATTAATATGGAAGCTTCAATTAAGTTCCTATTCAATATCTCAAAAGCTTTAAAGCACATCTTATCAAATTCAAATTTCAGCTCCTTCTCCAAAAGACTGCACATAGGTTTTGCAATTTTGGAAAAATCTTTGATGAATCTCCGGCAAAAACCTACGTGTCAAAGGAAACTTCACACCCCTATTACAGAGATATGAGGGGCCAATTTTTCAGTAACTTCCACCTTAGATTTATCTACTACTAATTCCGACTTTGACACCTTATGACCCAATACTATGCCCTCTCAAACCAAGAAGTTACACTTTTTCCAATTTAGTACTAAATTTGTGTACTCACATCGAGCAAGAATTTTATTATGATTTCGGAGACATACCTCAAAAGACTTACCAAAGACAGAGAAATCATCCATGAACACCTCTATGAAGTCCTACACCATATCATGAAAAATGGCCATCATGCACCTTTGAAAAGTCATCGGTGCATTGCAAAGTCCAAATGGCATGCGTTTCAAAGCATATGTACCATAAGGACAATTGAACGTGGTCTTTTCCTAATCCTAAGGTACAATCAAAATCTGATGATATACGAAATATCCATCTAAGAACCAATAGTACTCCTGCCCTGCTAGTTGATCAAACATCTGACCAATGAAGAGAACCGGGTAGTGATCTTTTCGTGTAGACTCATTTAACTTCCGATAATCCATGCAAATTCTCCATTCGGTTACTGTTATAGTGGGGATTAACTCATTTTTCTCGTTCTACAACATTTTCATACCTCCCTTGTTTGGGACACACTGTAAAGGATTTACCCACTTGCTATCAAAAATTGGGTACACGATTCCAATATCTAATCACTTTATTACTTCCTTCTTACCACTTCTTTCATCAAGGTATTCAGTCTACGCTAATATTGTGCACTATGTTTGTGATCCTCTTCCATATAGATTTTGTGCATACATAAAGCCGAACTAATCCTATGAATATCATCCATCTGCCACCCAATAGCTTTCTTTCTCCACTTTAGGACTCTCAATGTTGCATCAACCTATATATCAGACAATTCTGCAGAAAGTATTACGCGCAAGGTTTCATTAGTACCCAAATACGCATACCTTAGGTGAGCAGGCAGAGATTTCAACTCCAATTTAGTTGCTTCTTCAATTGATGGTTTGGGTGGAGGCCCTAATTCACGATCCAATGACTCTACTATACGTCTATGTAATTTTATGGTTGGCAGATTCAAACAAGTCACCATCTCTTGAGCTTCAGTATCTCACTCTACACCATGTCCCACTAAAACTCTTTCTATGGGATCCTCGAGCGCAATGAGTTGCGATTGTACTGCATGATCTATAACTGTAATAGCGGACAACTCCTCATATATAGAACGAAATTTCAAGGCGCGATAGACATCAAATACTTCAACCTTATTGTGTGCCCTCATAGCCAACTACCCAGTTGTTACATCAATCAGTGCTCGCCCCGTACAAAAGAACTGACGCCCCAGAATGAATTGAACTTCCGGATCAAGCTCAAAGTTTTAGACCAAAAAATGCACAGGAAAGATCAACAAACCATATGTACTAACACATTCTGTACTACCCCTTCTGTCATAGCTATGGACCTATCTGCGAGTTGGAGAATGACAGTGGTTGGTTTTGGACTGCCAAACCCAAATTTCTTATATAATGATGCAGGCATGAGATTAATTCTTGCACCCAAATCACATAACCCCCGGGCATGAACGGTTTGCCGAATTGTAATTTGCACGTTGAAACTACCAGGATTTTTTATCTTCTTGGGTAATATATTTTAAATTATAGAGGTACACTCCTCAGTAAGTCCTAATGTTTCATACTCCGTGAGCCTCCTCTTATTAGCCACTATCACCTTTACATACTTAGCATACTTTGGAATTCCCTGCAAAATGTCAACCAAAGGTATGTTAATGTGAACCTGTTTAAGGAGAGAGAAACTTACTGAAGAATTCATCTTCATTCTGCTTTCGAAGCTTTTGTAGAAATGAAGGGGGTAATTTCATTTGAGGAACGAACTTCTCAACATTGGAGTTCTTTACCAGCTGTTCTGCTTTCTTTTCTTTGTTAACTACCTCAGTATCTCTCTTCTTAGGAGCTAGTTCCTCTAGTTGTAACCCATTTCTTGCACTCACCGCATTCAGTTGCTTAGGGTTGGGTTCAATCTCACCGGGAAAACCTCCTTAAGGACATAAGTTTAGTTCATAAGCCATTTGTGCAGCTTATTTTTCCAGGCTCATTTGGGACATTTGAATGTTTCTTATGTTCTCATCTTTCTTATCTATCCTACCATTTATCTTTGTACCAATTTTTGACATTATCTTTTGGAGTAACTCTTCATTAGTCTGCCCCCCTTTTTGGTGCACTCGGATTTACGCCCTGGCTAGGATTTTTGTATTGCGGCCGTATTCCTTGTGACGGTATTGGTTAGACCCTTGTGCTTGGTTTTGATTTCGGTTTTTGTTTCCACCCCATGAGAAGTTTGAATTTGTTTCTCCAACTATAGTTATAATATTACCATAATTTTGCTGATCTCCACCTCTTTGCGCATTCCCTGCACAGTTTATGGAATCCAGATTTCCCTCACAAAGTTCAGTTTCATGTGCTCCACTACCACAGACATTACACCAACTTGCTTCATATTGTACATCATTCACTGGTGCTTGATTTAGTGTCATTTGTTTGAAATGCATGGTTTTGTTGTGGTTTATTGCATCTAATTTTGCATTTATTACGGTAGCTTAATCCACATCTAAAATTTATGCCGCTCTATGTGTAGTGGTTCTTGGCATTTCTCCTTCATAAACGGGGTTTCCTTCTGAGAGTCTATTTAAGAGATCAAATAGATCATCATGGGTTTATGCTAGAGCTTGGCCACCTACTGCACTATTTAGAAGTACTTGTGCGTTAAAATCCAAACCCTCTAAGAAAGTGTGAGCAAGTACCTCATTAGCTTGGTAGTGATGTTGACATGCATTTAACAATTGTTTAAATCGAGCCCATGCTTGGTACATATCCTCCACATTTTTCTATTTGAAACTCAATATCTCACTCCTTAACCTTGCAGTTTTTCCGGATGGAAAGAACCAACTCAAGAACTTCTTTGCTAGATAATCCCATATAGTGATCGAATTTGGTGGCTCTAAATCTAACCATTGTCTGGCGGCTCCTAACAGCGAGTATGGAAACAATTTGAACCTCACATAGTTCGATGAAACTCTAGTAAGGATGTACGTATCCCTTATTTCCAAAAAAAATATGGAATTGAGGATCCTCATAAGGGAGACCGGTGAATTGTCCCATCGAATGGATGAGCTGCACCATATTTTGTTTTAGTTCAAATTTGCCACCTGGTGGTGGTTTCCTTACACTAGACGCCACAGTGGCTGTGAGTAGGACTTCCACATCATGGACTAGTCCTGCTGATATAATTGGGAGTTCCTCTTGTTCTTGATAATTCACGTTTTCCACTCTTTCACCAACCATATCTTCCTAGAGACCGAGTCCCAATTCATGTTGACGTCCTTGTTTTACCAACTTTATTTGTAGTCTTAAAGATCTTTCAGGTTCGTCATCGGGTTCGACAAGTTCTGCTTTTAGAGCCGACTTGAGAATCAAGTGCCTGCTATTCACAAGATATAAGATCAAGTTATTAACACTTAAACAATAAAATTTAAGACTTAAGAAAATCAAATATTTATCAATTTGTAAGTCTCTGACAGTGGCGCCAAAAACTTGTTGCTCCCAAATATACAGACAAGTGTATGTGGTCGCTCAAGTAATATAATTTCTTTTAGAAATGAGCTTTCATTCCCAAGGGACTTATGATCAACTTATACTTAATACTTAATTCCATAACTTGACAAAAGTAATCTTTTAAAAGAGTTTGATTGTTGTAATTACTACTACGGTATATGCACTAACTAAAAGTAACAATTGTGAATGACTTCAAATTGATGTTTTAAAAAAGTTAAAGACAATTCCAGTGTTGCAGCATGCGTTGGACTTCATGTATCGTATCTCGAGAAATGAACTAATTTTAGTTATCAAGTTATTGATTCAGAGGGTTAATTATATTAGTAGGGTCTCCCGACCTCTAATCGCCTACTCTAATTAGTTGTCTAACTACATCGCTAAGCGGGGATAACCAGTCTTGATTGGCGAGCATTTATATTTCATCCTATTTCGTAACCAAGCTAGTTGTTCGCCCGGGCGTCACTCCTAAACATAAGTCAACTCAATGGAAGAACAACCTTTTTATATTCTTTGGTGCATTTACCTTATCCTCTATCGATTGTAATAACAGACAAGAGATTTATTTATATGGTGATCAAGCATGAAACACTTAAACAAGAATATAAAAGTAACTTATACAATAACCAAGAATTAATTCAAAAAATACTGCAATAGTCAACAATCAATCTATAGCTACAACCCCAAAACAAGGGAGTTTAGCCACTCATACTATTCAAAAACCACAAATATAATTGCTTTTGCGATTTCCAAAATTAAAGAATAGTTAGAAAATCAAAACCTATTACAAAAGTTGAATGTTGCTCTTGCACACCAAAATAATGCTTGAACCCTTACAAAATATCCCTATGGGTCTATTTATAGAAGTTAGGAAAACTATAGTCTAAATCTAATTGAACAAGGACTCCTTTTTAGATCAGATTTCGCTGGGCAATTTGGAATAGGGATGGGGCGCCGCCTGCCATCACGCCAGGTGAGATTCTCTGTAGTTTCAACAATGGCATGCTGCACCAGGCAGTATGCCACATCTTGGTGCTTCCATCTTTAGTTTATTTTTGCACTTCCTTTCTTCGAAGTGACTCTAACTTCTTTGAAAGTCCCTGAAAAAACTAATCATGTGTTTTAGTGAACAATCATCACAAGTGAAACAAAATCAAGCTAATAGACTCAAGATTATTCTTTAATTGATCTCATCATGGGAAAATATTGACAACTTTGGCATATAACTACTCCAAGCAACTGTAGTCATTGTTTGTCCATCAAATTGCTCAAAATATATTGATCAATGTACTTAATTGTCAAATGCAGTGTCTGGGACAAGCCTGTACTCTTTGGTAACCTATACCATCAAACAAGTTCTGCATCAAACCAGGGTTATATTTCATCAGGGACACAACTTTACAGAAGAAAGATATTAGAAGTTTACCTCAACAAGCCAGTCAATTAAGATAATGTGCATGCTAGGATTAATGTATTTTTGTACTTTCGCCATGAAATATGTGGAAGGCCTTTTCTTATCCTAGTACAGTGATCAAAGATAACATTAAAACATGTTTGATAACTAATGTTTGTAAAACTGAATGTTAGCACCAACATCTAAATCAAAGAGCTCAATAAATTCAAAGAGATTTATACCTCAAATGCTGTTAACAACCATTGTAGAACATAACTGTGGATCAACAAGTACATCTCTCTTGCATATATCTACTATTGGAATAAATTGTATTAAATAGATGTTATAGTTAAAATGAAATGCTAGAACAAGGACTATTCTCTACTAAAAAGATCAAAACATGTTGCTTTGACATGTTCTGAAATGTAGAGGGTGCTACACACCTTATCGATGGAATCAACTACAGTCGATTCATGGTCATCTATGTATTCGATCTCCGGACTTCTTACTGCATCCATAGATTCATCCATGGAGACCAATATATCTGAGTGAGATGGAAAAATGTCCATGTTGCAAGTAGCAGTAAGAGGAATGTCACTAATCTTAGGTACAACTGCATCACTTCATTGAATAGAAACAGGTTTGCTGACTGGTCTGATAGGGGAGGATGTTGGCAGAACAAGTAGAAAACTACATTACTGTTGCAAGTAGGAATGTTCTTCTTACAATCTTGGATGTACCTGGTCTTAGGAAACTGCATTACTGTTGCAAATAGGAATGTTCTTCTTATAATCGTGGATATACCTGGTGACTTTCAAAGCCAAAAATGATTCCAAGTTAGTCACAATTTGTCTAAGGGTCAACACATTTTCTTTCATTTCTTTCAAAATTTTATCCGACCCCACAACCTTGTTGAGAATACGAGACAACATATCCTCACATCGGCCACCCTCAGAATCCTTTGGCTTTTGACACTCGTGGGGCGGAATGTACATGTCCTTTTCCCTATCCCTTTCTTTCCAAGTGGGGTTACGATCCCTCCACTCTCTATCACGATCTTTCCAACCTTTATCACTGTTCCAACCTTGGTTACCACCCTGCCTTGGATAGTTTGAACGATAACCACCTCCTTGATTGGCTAGGAAGTTCACCTCTTCGTTGTATAACGCTTCAAACTTGGCCTCATCAGGGTTACCACACCCAACACCCATAACATTGACACTCCTAGCACCCGCTCCCATGACATTTTTGGACAAAATATCAAGTTTGGTCATGATATTTGCCATGATTTGGTCTCTCTCCTGATCTTTCTCAAGCTGCTCTTTGGTCAATTTACACGTGAAAGGGGAGACCTGATCTTCACGGGTGTACCAAGCCTGATTAATTATGGTCATACCATCCAAATGTTGGGCTGCTATAATGTAAGGTTTTTGCATCAAACCTCTCGGAGAAAGTTGGTCAGCTACGCCCTTGTTCATTGAATCAAGGATTCGGTAAAGTATTGCAACAAAACGTTGTCGGGTAAACCATGAGTTGGAAATTTCAGCACCAACTTCTTGAATAGTAGCCAAGTCTCATGAATTGGCTTACTCTCCAAAAGCTTAAAGCTTTGGATGTTGTTCCGAAGTGTCATGATCTTTGAAGGAGGGAAAAATTGCACCTGAAATGTGGTGACAAGTTCTTCCCACGAAGTGATTGACTCTTGTAGAAATTCAACCAGCCACTTACATATATCTCCCATTAAAGAAAATGGGAACAACCTCAATCGGATCGACTCTTGGGATATGTTCTTGAAGGAGAACGGCCCGCAAACATCAATAAAGTTTCTAATACGCTAATGGGGATCCTCATGAGCCAGCCCACTTAACAACCCTTTCAATTGCAACAACTGCAACATAGTACTTGTAATATGGAACATAGGGTTCCTTTCAGCCGGAGGCAAGCGAATGGCACCAATTCCACCCATTAGATGATGGTCATTAACATTAGGCTCATTGACATCGTTGAGGTTCCCGATGTCATTTTCGTGGCCCACTTGGCTACCATTGCTTCCGTTAACACTCATTTCCTCTGTTCAAAACAGCAACACACAAACCAACACTAAAAGTAAGTAGATTCAACTATGACTAACAAGAACAAAATTCAACTTAACCAAAGAATCTTAACCAACACTACTCCCGGGAAGCGGCGCCATTTTGATTCAATAACGCTATCAAAGACACTTCATCCAATTCTACGTGTCAATTTAATCAATATATAACCCAACTAAATGAGTTGGGGTCGAACCCCACAGGGAGCGGTACATGTTTAAGATTCAATAGTAAAGTGTGAACATGGTCAAATTAGTCATAGCAATAGACATTATCGATTAAAGACATAATTCAAATCAGGGGGTGACCCGAATGTCAAATAAAAAGGGGGTTTTGGTTTTAATTGTCAACTACAATAACAACAAATAACAAAAAAATGACAATAATGAGACGGGCTCTTGGGATGTGATTTGATTATAGGTTATTGTAGACAAATGGGTAATTGCAACTGTTAAGAAATAGCTAGATAGTAGTGAGTAAGCTAGACTATAGAGGAGGTAAACTTTCTCTCGAACAATTTACCCCGAATCAAGTTAATTTTTCTCGAACATCAACTAGCATGCAAAATAAGAACACCCTGCACTTTAGTCCATTCACTCTTTCGAGCTGAATGTGTGGAAAAAGGTTTTGGATTCACTCTCTCAAGCTGAACCCATGACAACCCAACACCCACAAACCATCAATCAATAATCTTGGTTTTAAAACCTCTGTCAAGCAAGCAAAAAACACAAAGGTCGAACTGCATTTGCAACTATAATTCTTAAATTAAAACACAATTAATGATTGAACTCACTTCTAAACAGCATTTAAACTAACAATTAGCAAT